CACACACACACACACACACACACACACACACACACACAGTCCATATATCCAAAAGGCATCCTCAGGGAGGCTGTAAGAGAAAAGGACTTAAGCTGCCCTGGGAGAGGAGCAACCTTTAAATAAATCTCAGAATTTAAGCACAGCTCCTGCTTTTCAGCCAGCACTACTGCTGGAGCCTTATTTTAGGAGTTCTCATTCTTTTTGAGAGATTCGTTCCCTGGTCCGCTTAGATCCACTGGCACTTTCATCTGAAGAGGAAGGCACAGGAATAGGCACCCCGGGTAAAACAGGAATAGGCACCCCGAGCTGAGGTCCCTTCCACACCCTAGCAGTTGATCCTCTCTACCCCTCTACCCGGCTGCTGCTAGCTAATCTTTCCCTTGCAATCCCAGAGCAAGGCCACGGAGGAGACATAGTCAAAATTCATACGAATGGCTCAACTCCTCTCCAGCACCGACCCCCACTCATTACCTCCTGCAGCCCCCCTTCCCACCCATCCCCCGCTCCATCACCCAACACCGCAGCCACTGCAGGCGGTGCGGGGGTGGCCTGGGAGGGGAGCTGGGGGCTTCCTTGGCACCCACCCTGGCGCGCCCTAGAAGAATGTCCTCTGGTGAAAGGGCTGTCCTCAACTTGGAGGAACTTAGAAGGCAAAGGCTGCCGCGGCGGGGCCTCAACCCCGAAGGCGAAGGGCGAAAACAGGGAGTCCGAGGCGCGGGCGAGCACCCCCGGGCTTACCACGAGCACGGGGACCCCGGCAGCCAGCGAGTAGAGGAGCACGGGGGGCACGGCGCTGCTGTCCTCCGGGCCCGGGTAGGGCTTGCGGTAGGCGCTGTCGTGGCAGAAGAAGCCCTGCACGTTCACGGTGAACGTGTCCGTGTACTCGAAGTAGTACGCCAGCATCACCGTCCCTGCCATGATCACCATCTGGAAATAGAGCATGCTGCTGGTGAGCGCCGCGGGCAGCGGGGGCATGCACGCCTCCCCGGTCCGCCGAGGCAGCCGCCGGGGGCGCGGCGGCGGGGGCGGCGGGAGGCGGGATGGAAGCCGCTGGAGGAAGAGGCGGAGGCAGGTCCGGGTTTGAGCACCGGCAGGCGGCGGCGGCGGAGACGGCTACCCCTGGACGAGCCCCCGATCCCCTCCCCGCCCCCTGCCCTCCGCAAGCGCCGCCCGCCCGGGCGCGGGGTCGCGCGGGAGGGCGGGGAGTCCCGGGCGCCGGGCAGCGGCCGCAGCGCCCGGGCGAGGGAGCATCCGCGGTGCAGCCGCGCGGGGTCAAGCCCCCAGGTCCGCCCGGAGGAGGCGGTGTCGGCGGACCGGGCGGCCGCAGCCGGGACAGCGACACTTGCGCCCCTCGGAGCGCGGACGCAGTGGAGCCGGCGAAGCTCCTCGCGGGGTAAAAACCAAGAAGGGGGGTGGGGGTGGGGAGAGGAGGCAATAGAGAAGCAGCTTCTAGAAACTCCCTTCTGAGGCGGCAGCTGGGCGGGTTAAGAGACCCGCACAACGCCTGGGAAAATGGTGCGCGGACGCGTCTCCGGAGCGCAAACGCCACCAAAGCGCGAAGCGGCGGCGGCCGCGCGGCGAGGTGCAGCCGGCGCTCCCTTGGATTCCCGAACCCCGCGCAGGACACGCGCCCAGCGGTGGTTTCCAGGCGCAGTTAGAAAAATAATCTCAGAGGATTTTAGGTTCGGAGTTCTTTGCCTCCCCTCCAGCTTCCTAGGGCTTTGTATGTAAAAACCCAGAAATCATAGCTGGGTGGCTCCCCAAGCATCGTCTCTCGTACAGCGGCCCCTTCCTCGCTCCCGTCTCCGCCTCTGGCTCATCTTCTGTCTCCCATTATTAGCTGCTTGTGATATGAGACACTGCAGATTCCGAGGACCCAGCGATGGCAGCCACCAGGGGGGAAAGGGGCTATTTGACTCATCTCGCTAGTCCCTGATTCCCTGGGAACAGCCGGGATTCCCCAGAGGTCGAGTGAAAGGAGAGGGAGACAACGCGGGCGCACACCGCATGCATACAAAACGCACCCCTGCATACACGCGTGTGCGTGGGCATGAACTAGCTATGGAACTGCAGGTATGTGCAGAGCCCGCTTCGTGATGCTATGTGGGTCCCTGCCCTGCGTGACAAGTTTAAGCAGCAGACTTAGATGGGGGTGAGTGTGGGGGTAGGGGTTGCGGGGGGAGCTTCCCAGAGCCTGACACGGCTCACACCCTCCACCCCAGAGAGCAGGTAAAGACGCGTGTATTCGAGGCGAGAGAATGAAGATATCCCTAGAGTCCTGCCCTTCTTGAAACAGAATTGCCTTACAGGTTTCTGGAATGTTCATTCATTTTAATGGGTTGCAGCTTGATGATTTGTAGAGGTGAACCTTGATCATCAGGAAAAAGCAACATTGTTAGGCAAAAAAGAAGCCGTTTACATTTGGCAAATGGTTTGTAGTTTGGGAATGGGATGCTAATAGCAGTGGGAATTTCTTCAATGTAAAATAACTTACCTTCCACATTATCACAAACATCATTTAATAACTAATTACTTAGTGTTTACAGGCTAGATGACACCGAACAACATACATAATAAGCGATTTGGGGCAGTGGGAGTAAACTGTTCTTAAATGAACAAGAGTGATTTACCACATTATGGTAATGTTATATGGTATAACTATTACAAAGATACATGGTTTAATGCTCATTCAGAAAATCATTCTAAGGCTGTAAGTGTTTAAACTATTCTTTCCATTCTAAATAGGATTTACCCAAACCTTCCTACTTAATAGAATTTTTAGAAGAATGGTGTTCATTTGTAAGGTTAATTCTTAAGGATACCTTAGGATTAAGAAGAATCTAATGTAGGTATAATAACTTATTCAAGGTAATGAAAACATGCTTATTTTCAAAATTAAAATCATAGTAATGCATTGTTAATGAGTACTGAGTGCCTAGTACTGTGCATGTAACAAAGCAGGGTCGTGGTCTGTCCTGTCCTCTGCTCTGTCCCCAGTGGGAGCACTGCATGGCACATTGTTGGTATTCAGTAAGGGTCTGCTGAATAAATTAATGAACTTACTCCTCTAAGAACAACAGGGAAATGTTTTCACATATAAAATTCATGTCAAGGGTTACATATCTTTATGTCCGCAGATAAACATAGTCAGCATACTTACATGGCACACTGACACTGAAGGTGAAAGGTCAATGAATGAACAGCAACTCTGGTACTGCCTCAGTTCACATCCCAGTTCTGCCACGGACCAGCTCTGCAAACCTGGGCGAGATGCTTGACCTCTTTGTGTTTTAGTTTTATCACCAGTAAAATTGGGATACGGCTAGTACCTACTTTACAAGATTGATATGAGGATCAGTCACACTCAACTAATTATGTCTGGCACATAATGAACATTTTTTGTGTGTTAAAATTCGACTTGTAGACATAAACGTATCTAGTCTACCGTAACTCAGGTCATTCTAGCATTCATCACCAGTCACTTCCTTCTCGTTGCTTACAAAATGCCTCTGGACGGATCCATGTTTCTGTGGGTGTGCACATTTTTCTATAGATTTATGCACATTCTGTCTTCTCTTTCAGATTCTATCCATCACAGGAATAAGATATTATTTTCCTTCAGAATTCTCAATATCCCCATCATTTGTCCGGATTAGATGGTTCAATAGTGCTGTTGATGGAGTCATGATTAACTAATGATCCATTGCTGAAACGGAAAGTTAGTACTGAATCTTAGCTCACATTATAAAGAAACCCACATTAAATTAAACTTCAATGAATGAGCAGATTGGTGATTCATACACATGTTGGGAGATGGATGAAAGAGCATGAGCTATGAGCCCTTGGGCTGGTTACTTTACCTTCCTGAACCTCAGCCTCTTTGGGGACAAAATGAACTAATTTTTCGTATTTCTGGGCTTATTTTGACAATTAAATGAGAATCTGTAAAGTACCTGGCATAAAGAAGGTACTTATTAGTGTGTCTCTTCATTTTCTTATAAATCATTTAAGCTAATTATTTTCCAAAATACATATTTTCAACTTCAAAGACTCCTTTGGAACCTTGCCTCAATCTTTAACATTCTGTTTCTAGATTATAAAGTCACTACTCATATTTAATCCTTTGGAATCCTACCTAAATTCTTAATTTAATTTTTAGGTATATCATTGTGCTTCCAAATGTATTATAGCCGTCAGTCTTTCTTTACAAAACATTATCCTATTCTTCAAATTCTCTCCATCTCAGCTCCAACCAAGGTAATCTAGGTAAAAAATGTGGCATTTGTAACTTTTATTTTCCCACTTCCAGTGATTCATATTGTATTTATATATGTTTGACTGAACAACCACTCCATCCCACCATGTTTCTCCACCCATAAAACATGTACCGTGATAAATAGTGAGACAAATCTTGGGGGGGGATTATTTATTAATTCCAATGCCTACAATCTCCCCACTTCTATAGTCATGTTCTAGTAAGAACTAGTAAGGTGCTAGACCAGCATGGGAAGATATAGTCCTTGTCTATATGGTTTATAACTTTCCTTCCACATACAGAAGACAAGTGTACAGAAACAATAACAGGGGAACCTTTATGTTGGTAGATAGTATAAAGACTAACTGAATAGTCCTTGGAGAGCCAAGCGTTAAATATTTTTGGATGGCTAGATAAGTGAATGCATTTTTCTTCTTTAACTTTGAAAACCTAAGGAGCCTGCTAGAAAGGAACAGGAAATGTACCTGGTTCCTCAAGATTATTACCAATTAAGTTCTATACAACAAATCTGTGAATATCAAAAGAGGCAGATTGAAATTTTCTGTTAAGGCCCAAAGATTTGGTTCTCATTAGTTTATAGATAGAACGTTTTTGGCAAATATGCCTGAGAAGTTCCCAGGACCAAAGAAGACACAGAATAGTAAACATTGGTTTCCATGTGTTTCAGGTGACTCAGAGGTAAATCCAGGCATTTTCCCGAAATTTTCTCATTCCACGTGCAAAAAAACGAAAAATAATGTTATTTTCAATGCATAAATGAGAAGGTGAGGTCTGAAAGATTCAGAAGGCTTTACATCAGACAAAGTAAGAAAGTCTCTCCAAAAGAATAGACGCTGTTTTTTAAAAAAAACAATTTGTATTCATAATCCTAAACCTGAGTTAGAGATATCTAAGGAGATTCAGGAGTGTGAAAAGTTACATGACTTGTACTAATGAGGAACTTTTAAATGTTAACATATAGATTGGTAGAAGATCTCATGGGAATAAATTTGCAAAGAGATCATTTTTTTTTAAGGCCAGGTAACTGCTTATTACTTCAGAATAAGTGAGGGCATCTGGTAATTCATTCTAATAATTATTGAACTACACAAGACAGCATCTTAACAGATCTTTATTGAACTGGATCTAGAGAATGAAGAAATATACTAGTTTCCTAACTCCCAGACAATTTGATATAGAGAACACTCCTGAAACTTGAATAAGAAATAAGACATAGGACTGATTAATTAAAAAAGTGTCGTGGTTAAACACATTCATGTAGATTCAAAGGTACAGCATCCTCAAAGGCCAACTAAAGAGAGCTAGGAACATTGGGGATTACACCTTTGACTTTTTATTATTCACATCATAGCATACTGATACCTCACAGAATGATCTTCAGTGATTCCTTTAGGAGGTGTTGTTTTCTCAAGGAAACAGGAAGAGCAACAGCTAGCATAGTAATTTGTATGTCTGTCTTTGAGGTTCAGCTGTAATGAGATATTTATCTCAAAGGCCAGATGCTTCTGCCCTGGACAAGCAGTCTTATCTTCAGCTGGAGCCACTAAGCTATCTTTAAAGTGCCTTACACTATGACGATATTATAGCTTATTCTATTCTACATTTTCAGTATTTTACGTTTTCACTTTTAAAACAGTTATCCAAACAAAGCACATATTTTATTAGAGAACCTTGTTCACTGAAGGTATAGGCATGAAATTGCTGGACTAAGTAAAAGAGCCAAAATTTATAAAATATTAAGGCTGGGAAAGAATAGAACAATTTAACTAAAATTTCATCAATTAACATTCCTATATTAAAATAAAAATTTTAAATTATTGACTTAGCAAAAGTTAATTGGAACATGCTAATAATATTTACTGTGTGACCATGGCAATCAGTTAGCCTCTCTGACTCAGTTTGCTCATCTGTGCAATTGGATTAATAAATCTTTACCAAGACATTGAAAAGGTTGTATTTATAAAATGCTTCATAAACATTAAAGCATTGGGAATATCTGCATTAGAAAAAATTATAATTAGTAGGAGGAAACACCTAACTTAAGCGGGTCCTGGATTTTTCTCCCCCGCACTGAGTTCCAACTCAACAAAAACTCAGATTAATCGCTGCTTGGTCTGTTTTTATGTCTGTGAATATTGAATTATTTACCATATGTTTCAATCATTAAAAAAGAAACCAAAACACTGTTTTGTTACGTATAACTCCTTGGATCCATGACATCAGGGGACATTTCAAATTATGCACGTTTCCTGATAGTAACTTTATGAACAGTTATTAAGGAAAAGGACCTAGGAGTATGTCAGTCAAGTGTTATGGTTAAGCTCAAGGACTGGGACTCAACACAACTGAGTTCATATCGTTACTCTGTAATTTCATTATTATTGGACCTCGGCCAAGTCCTTTTAATTTCTCAGTTCCTACAGTACACTAAAATGAGGATAATGTTGCCTACTTCACCAAGACATTGTACAGAGCTTAGGCCACTCATGACAATAAATGATCATTAGAGTTATTGACAATCTTGACCACACTGGTATAATTAATCCTGCCACTGCTGGATCAGCAAAACTTTCATTGATCCATTTGGAAATGTGCCTGCATAAAATGCTGCTGAACATCTTTGTAACTTCACTTTATTTGAAGGTACCTGAAAGTCGTTTTTTGTGCTATGATAAATGAGGAGTATTCCTAAACAAAATCACAAATCCTGCTAATACATTGAGAAGGTTTTGTTAGCAATGCTATGAAAAGTGGGGGGCAAACTATGCTGATGACAGCTTCAGGTCCTTTGTCAATGATACAGATTGTGACTACAACTCAGCATTTGTTTGATTGTCTTTCAGTGTACTAGGTAGTG